AATGTGTCCTTTTTTTTCAGATTAGAAACCTTCCTCAACCACTCCGACTATTCTTTGGACGTTGTTGTGTTCTTCCTCCTAAATAGGCTTTATTATTTTCCTAAGTGAAAGGCTTTGCATGTAGGTGAGGCTACAACTCATTCAGTAACAATGAGAAAGACTGTCAGATTTTGGGGAAAATTCTCCCACCCAACCTTTTGCTAGCCAGTAGGATGTAATCATTGAATGTCATGCCATGAAGACAACACCAATGTCAGATCAAATATCTACAGAAGTTTTAAGAAATCATCGTCTGCACAATGAAGGCTAAATCAAATCAAAATGAATGCGAGGTCTGGTAAGAGACCTAATGAGAATTAAGAACAAAGACAAATAGTTTTTCACAGTCTTGTCATAGTCTGTCAAAAACCAAGGCAGCACAGCAGGCAACAATATTATTCTCTTCAGAATGGCACAGCACTGCTGCAGAAAGATACCAGGTGGACTATGAACTCACATCCAAAGGAGCTTGACCAGTCACCTGATTTTCTTCAGACAGGGGAAACAACACAATCCCACAAAACAGGTGAGAGGGGAACCACCACTAATGGCTACAGCACCAAGGTATGCAATGGCAAACCATTAGACATTCACCTGAGCAAAATGGTTTCTCTCTCCATGAATGGTTGCTTCTTCCCCTCACAAAAAGGTAATTTCCACGCTCACAATGTGCAACAAAGACAAACAGAGAACAGTTAATGTTCTCCTTCCTAATGTCAAAATTGTAGTAGCAAAGAGGAGAACAAAATCTAAAGTTCTGAGTAGGTTTTAGTGATTGGATAAGAGGCTTTGACCTGTGAGCTCACCTGGACTTCATATCCTTTTGTATAAAAGTGCTTTTATTATTTTCAGGTCTCTGAGACTGTTGGTTTAGGGATAGGCCCACAATGAAATACCTGGCAGAAGAAAGAGCAGGAGAGCCCTAGCTGACCTTCTCTTTGGACAAGCATTGTCAAACAATCTGTGACAAAACTATTTGTACTGCTTTGCACAGCTGTGCTGGGCAGGGCAATCCATTACCATCTATCTCAGGTAGTCTTCCAACTGCAAGAAGATTGCAGCTTACTCTCTCTAGACCCCAGGTCCAACCATACCAATGCAGGTATGCTGACAGTGCTATGCTGACAGCCTGTTCTATTCAAGATATCATTTGTTCATGGACAATTCCTGTTGCTTATGCCTGGACTTCCATTGAAAAAGAGAGTAGTATATTTTTTGTATCTGACAGAGAAGCAGAAATTCTCATCCTCCACACCTCATGTTGTTTTAAACCACAGACTACTTCTTGGAGAGAAAAAATGGCTTTTATAAGACTCCCAGAACAAAGCTCTGCAAGTCAAATGCATACAAAACTGTTCTGTAGGTCTGGAATCAGGATACTGTGGAAGTCAAAAAGAGCAGCTTTAAAAAAACATTTGGAATCATTCTCATTCTATATTTGCAGCACAATAGTATGACAGTGATAACTGACATAACTGCATTGATTTCCTTGATATTTTTTAGCTCTTAAAGTACACAATGTTAGTGAAAAGCTGGACACATGACTCAGGTCTTACAGGTATGTAGTCCAGAAGTTCACTACCACAATTTGAAGTGTAAATCCACTACAACTTCCTTGAGCTACAGAAATGAAATGGAGACCCAGAAATGAAACGGGGACCCAGAAATGAAATGGGATACAAAAGAGGGAATGTGGCATTCAGTGCTCTGGCTCCCCGGTACACCCAACCACTTGGTGAGAAACAGCCTGTTGTTACTCACTACTCTTAGGACAGATTAAGGTGAATTGTTAATAAAAGCATTTCTTCATAACATCCAAAGGAGGACATACACTAAATTATATTTTTATTCATTAATTATACATGCTTAATTGTATATGGCATGGTTGCTTTGGAAAAACTTTGTCCTTACTGACCATATCTGCTCTTTGCTAAGACAATTTCAGCCATGGTAGATACCTTCCCCCTTTTCCGTAGCATTAAGACAGAAGTTACTGTGGATCCTGTCTGACAAGTCAGACTTGATACCTTCAAGTATCTGGAAGTGTAATTTTCATGCTGGATGTCATTTCCAGAACCTCCCTATCTGGTAAGCAGTTCCCTGCCTTAGTAAGAGCCAAAACGGTCTCTCTTTTCCTTGTTATTTCACCAGGATATTGCAGTGTGACAGGACTAGCTGAACACTGTCACTCTGCAAATTCCAATTATATATCTGGAATATCTATACACAAACTATTAGTGTTTGATTGACACCAGGTGATGGAAAAGTGCATCTGAGAAGACTCATTCCCAATCTCCTTTCTCCTTCAGCAGACTAATATATGTCTCATAGATAGAAATAACATTTACTGAGTAGCACATCAATCATCATAAAAAGTAGGCAAAACAGCAGAAGTGATTAAAAACAAAATGAAACAAAAAAATCAGCCGTGTTGTAGATATAGAGCAAAAAATATCATTTGCACTACCATCTCGTCTTGCTCAAGTCCTCAAACTCAGCAAGGAGAATGTAGATTTCTAGTATATTTATTTTCACAAAAGAAAGGAGAGAAACAAAAAGAAAATGGCACTGACCAAACTTCAACTAGTGGGATAGGAAAGTAATTCTTCTGCTTAACAGAGATTGCAGCAATCTCTTTGTATGTCCTGAAGAATTATGTTGTACTTTTTTCCCCTATTTTTAAATCAAACAGAGGTCAGAATGCTTTCTTTACTTTTTGTCAATTCTATTATTTCAATACAGAACAATAGCTTCTATAACTGAAATATATTTGCTATTGTATATTATGATTGTCCCTCGAACCATGAACACTCCTCCAGCTGAATTTCACAATTCCTCTGTCATCTGCCAGGCCATTAAGTTATTCATGGAAGATCTTTGAGGAACATTGCAAGTTTGTACCATAAACACATTTGGAATTATTATTTTGCTTTGTATGGAGCTGTTTTGCAGTTTCCTTAGAATAAAAGTTTGTTATAAAGCATTTATATCCCTCAAAAGATGTATTTAAATATTCCAACTATAGAAAGTTTGTATCTGCTCTTCACTCTCATCTCAACTGGTTTCTTCATGTGCATGTTTCTTTGTTTCCTCTATTTTGTAAAGAAAATAATAGGTCAAGTCTTGTTCTCACCTATCTCCTGTCTAGCATGGCTCAGATCCACGTTGTACAAACAACAAGAGTCAACTGAAACAGACTTCAAGTCTGTTTCAACAACCATAGTAATGAACAGACTAACTAATAATCGCTAATTATGTTTTCCATCTCTAAGGTTCCCACATTTTTCTGTTTAAGATCCTGTTACCTGGTTGTGACTGAAGCTCAGCGGAACATGAGCAGTATTTCCCAGTCTTCTCTCTCATCCAACAGTCCTGATGGATTAGCAGAACTGCCAGAAAACACTTTGTTACCCAGAATTAAAAACTAATATTTACTCTCCCTTCAATCCAAAATGGATGTTTGGAAAATAAAATCTGGCCCAATCCCATTAAATGATTTCTATGCATCAAAGGTCAAACTTCTGGAAGGAACCTGTGGGTGGGTCCCAATTCAGGCTATATATTCCCCAGGGCTCAGCCAGTCTCTGTACATACAGCTGGAAAGCTGTATTGCCTTTAGTGCTCAAGCTCAAAAGGTAAGCAACTCTCTAGAATTACCTTCTCTCTATACTAGTTCTTGCTTGTGCCTAAACTTAAAAAAAATGAACAAGTATTGTGTTATGTATTCTATCTTTAGGGGTGAAATACCTGCATGATACCGGCTATGAAAACTTCTCACCTGTGTATGCATCCTGCACTATTTTATTATGTATAAAAGCTGTGTGTTTGTTTTCAGGAGGCTTATTCTTTATGCTTAAAATGTTTTGAATTTCAGAACATCTTATCCTGTCATTCACTACCTGATATTCTTTGCGGTTTGCTTGATTAACCTCCAGTCCTACAGAGTGCACCAAGAGCAGAGAGGTTCTGAAAAACTTCTGGCTTTCACAGGTTATATAACACAAGAAAGCAACTAGATTCATGCTGATCCCAAAAAGCTGTGCTTTATATAAGCACACTGTTCAGTTCAGATCTTTATAACAGAAACAGACAGAACAAGTATAAAGCTTCTATTGGTCTATGTCATGAACAAGAATTCATTCAACAGCTCTGTTTTATAGTAGACATTGCTGTTTTATCATATCTCCATTTCTCTTCTGTCTGAATGTCATCCATAAAATTTAAATCCTCAGAAAGTTTATACTACAGTACACATACACATCTTTGAGAAAAGCAAGCCATACCTGAAAGTGCAATAGGGCAAAATATGAATTACACGCATGTCTTTTTCCTAGACTTCATGATCTCATACAAATTACATTCCTTATCTATTCTTCCATCATTAAAACAAAGGTAAAAATACTTTTGAAGATCTACTTTTGATAGTAAGTAGTATGCAATGAAGAAATATTTTTCTGTGCTTACTTATTTTTAGGAAATAAAATGAGAAATTCGACAAGGTTCTGCTTTCTTATATATCTGTCCAAACCCAGAGTAAGTCTACTGGAATTTGCTCTTTGAATTTCCAGCTTTGCAAGCCTACTGGATTGTATTTTCTTGTTTTGATCAGAGGTACTGAAATGTACCAATGAATTCTAGCTTTCACTGATTGAAAATATGCAGAGGAAACTGTTGTTTGGCTGCTTTTAAATGGTAAAGAGAAATCACACATAGACCTAAGGCTTCTGAGACAGTTTGCTACCCAAAAGGAACTGAATGCAAATGCATAAAGAAATAAATTCATGAATATGGTTTTGAGCACGGATGAGAGGTGGGTATAGCAACAGACACAATACCACAGAATACTTTAAAACTACTTGCTTACATTTAATTGCCTAAAACCTGCTCATATTTTACAGTTGTAATCTACTATAGAGTACCCTGCATGGCACTATGTACAGCATTCCATCCTTACATTTTCATTATTCTGCTCTTTGCTCTAGACAACTCAGAGTTCACCATGGGCTCCATCGGTGCAGTAAGCATGGAATTCTGTTTTGATGTATTCAAGGAACTCAAAGTCCACCATGCCAATGAGAACATCTTCTACTCCCCCTTCACCATCATTTCAGCTCTGGCCATGGTCTACCTAGGTGCAAAAGACAGCACCAGGACCCAGATAAATAAGGTGAGCCTATAGTTCAACGTTAAAACCTTTGTTCTCCTCAATGGAGCCATAGCACTTAATTATGCAATGATGTCCCTTGGAAACTGCATAGCTCAGAGGCTGACAAATCTGGAACCAGAGTTATCTAAAACTGTGGCCACCTCCAGCTCCCAGAGTGTTACACAAATGCACTAGCCAGAAATCTTGAAACTGGATTGCCTAACTTCTTTTTGTCATAACTGTTATTTCAGCTACTATTATTTTCAATTGCAGGTTGTTCGCTTTGATAAACTTCCAGGATTTGGAGACAGTATTGAAGCTCAGGTACAGAAATAATTTCACCTCCTTCCCCATGTCCCTTTCCTCTGGAAGCAAAATCCAGCAGATGAAGCAATCTTTTAGCAGTTCCAAGCCCTTTCTGATGAGCAGCTAGTGCTCTGCATTCAGCAGTTGGGAGAACACTTTGTACATAAGAACAGAGAAAGAAAGGAGGTAGCAGGGGATTCAGAACAAAAAGATGAAACTCAGGACAAAAATACTAGGTGAATGAGGAAACTTGTGGATATTTGTATGCTTAAGCAAGACAGGTAGATGATTCTGGATAAATGGTTCTGCTTGGAAAAGAAGGAAAGCCTGCCTGATCTGCTGGAGCTAGGTCATATCAGCAGGCAGTCAGGAGTTCCCTAGAGAAAAGTATGAGGGAATTACAGAAGAAAAATAGCACAAAATTGTATACATTAGAAAAGGACCACATGAGTATAGTTATTAGCAGTAAGACAGAAAGGACAAACAATATCTAACTACTTTACTCTATTCATACACTACGAAAAGCCTACTAAGTAATAAAACTAGAATAACATCATCTTTCTTTCTCTTTGTATTCAGTGTGGAACATCTGTAAATGTCCACTCTTCACTCAGAGACATACTCAACCAAATCACCAAACCAAATGATGTTTATTCATTCAGCCTTGCCAGTAGACTTTATGCTGAAGAGACATACCCAATCCTGCCGGTAAGTTGCTCTAAAATCTGATCTATTTCCACACCAAAGCTCTACCATTCTGTAATGCAAAAACAGGCAGAGGTTTATGTTCCACTAACAAAATTTCTTTTTTTGCTGTTTTTGCATATGGAAGAGAGGACAAAACTTTTCTCGAACACAGTCCTGAACCTCTACAGTTTTCAGATAATACATGGCTTGCTAAAAGAATGTCAGATCTTACAATAACGCAATACAGCTAAAGCATATTACACTACTTAATGCACTATGCGACATAGCGTATAGTAATGCAGTGTAAAATAGCATTTTACACTACTATATTATTTATATCTGTTAATTTCAGTCTTGCAATTCACATTTGCAAAATGCTTTGAAATTCATATCTGAAAGCTGAATACTCTTGCTTTACAGGAATACTTGCAATGTGTGAAGGAACTGTATAGCGGAGGCTTGGAATCTATCAACTTTCAAACAGCTGCAGATCAAGCCAGAGGGCTCATCAATTCCTGGGTAGAAAGTCAGACAAATGGTAAGGGCAAGCCACCATATTTTCCCTTCTGTCACCATATTTGGCCAGCCTAGAAGAGCACTTAATTCACAGGAGGAAAATATAAAATCTCTCCTTTTCTTGCTGCTCTTGGATAACAGATCACTTCCCAGATATAGAACTATCAATCAACTTCTTTTTTTTTTTCCTTCAGACAATCTCCCTTTAAGATGACTATTTGCAAGAGATTTGCAGGAATGTAATACTTCCAGTCCTGCTGAAAAGGATAGCATTAGAACATGCTTTGTACATAGTGACAATTGGTTAATTCTAATACTGAGAACCTGGATATACAGCTCAGACAGTGTGCTTTGTGTTCAGGCTTCACAGAGTTGTTGTGTGTCTGTTAAGCAGGGCATACAGTTATTAGGCACTTGAAAAATCTTAATGGATAAAGGGCAGTGGAAAGCCAGAGTTAAGGAATTGTAAAACTACAGTTTTGATTTTTGCCCTAATGCCTCTCTGAGTGGTTCCTCCATTTTTCTACTTCCTTCCTCATCTCCTCACAACATTCCTTTCCTTCATGCTTGAAACACAGATGAAAGACTAAATTCTAACTGAGATGAAAACATCCACAACCACACAACCTCTCGTGTGGAGTCACGTTCTGAAGGCAAAAACAAGGCCATGTAACTTATGTATGTAAGCTACGTGCAAGCTATGTGTTTGACAGGACTATGTGAGGAGCATACTACATGCATGAGGACTGCAGAATGAACAGGAGCAAAGTTTTGGAAGAAAACAGAGTAAAATTCTGTTTCTCTCTTTTGTTACATTTTTTACATAGACCTCAAATTTCCACTTTGGTTAGAAGTAAGTCATATTTATGTTTCTTGGTACTGTTTTGGTTGGAGACCACTCTGGGATAAGAGAGATTCTGGTGGTTCTTCCCCTTATCACAAAATATACAGGTTTAGTCTTTCTGTAACACATAATCTCTTTGTCCTTTATCTTTTGTTGTGATTCCTTATAGAGAGAGAAACAAGAGTTATTGACAATAGAAGCAAGAAAATCAGTATTAGAAGAACAAGATTATAGTTGCAAAAACAAACCAGTGTCCTTGCCCCTACATCCTCTTCTCCATAACTTGTACACTCTCTATCTACCTTTTGCTTGCCAATGTGATATACAACTCTCTTTTTCTATTCATTTTTAAAGGAATGATCAAAAATGTCCTTCAGCCAAGCTCTGTGGATTCTCAAACTGCAATGGTCCTGGTTAATGCCATTGTCTTCAAAGGACTGTGGGAGAAAGCATTTAAGGATGAAGACACGCAAGCAGTACCTTTCAGAGTGACTGAGGTATATGGGCATACCTTAAAGATGTAATCTAGAATTCATGAAGAGTGTAGACCTGTTGTTACATAAACACTACATTAGCGTATCTGCTCATTTGTCTGCATCTCTTTCAGACACTATGTTAAAACCAGGGAGTTTTCTTTATTTCTCTCTTCACGCTATTGCTGACATTGCAAAGCTCCTGAGAAATAACTTGAGATTCCCACTTTTCCTAAGAAAGCCTTCCTGAATGAGAGCCATCAGTCATCTTAACCATAACTAGACATTTCTGCAATCTAAGAACAATCTTTGTTAAAACTATATTCTCTCTTTTTTCTTTTTTTTTTGTTCTACAGCAAGAAAGCAAACCTGTGCAGATGATGCACCAGATTGGTTTATTTAAAGTGGCATCAATGGCTTCTGAGAAAATGAAGATCCTGGAGCTTCCTTTTGCCAGTGGAACAATGAGCATGTGGGTGCTGTTGCCTGATGAAGTCTCAGGCCTTGAGCAGGTATGGCCCTAGAAGTTGGCTTCAGAAAATTAAAAACACACTGAAATTTAGTTGTTGCAAAGCTCTTTTCAACACAGTTATTATAAAACATTTAACCAGCACAAATTTCATTGTGATTCAATATGTGATTGTTGCATAGAAGTGTAGAGTTGTCCCAGTGGGTCCTGCAATAGCCTATGCTGAGCATGGCTTGCTTAAGGAACTGCTTTGAGGGTGAAATGTTTGACACAGTAGACAAGATGATTCTCACCTAAGCAGCTGTTACTGCAGAGGCTTGAACTCTAAAGGTCTTATGTCTCCATTCCTGTGCTCTGAGGAGCATCTTGGAGAGTTCATATTAGGTTTACTGGTTCTAATAATTGTCTCATTTGGTGGTGCTCAATGTGCTTCCTTCATGCCTTCATAAATTAACTAAAAACTGGATGTGGTTAAAGCCATTTCAGAAATAACATGTACATAATGTACAGCTGTTGATATGAACAGAACACAGGCATAGCATATTGTAATTAGGACTGTAGTTATTCTGAATAGGAAATGCAATGTAATAAATGAGAATTCACTGAAATGTTTGATCTAAATTATAAAGATGAAGAAGCATTTCATCACAGCTAAATTTCCATCACATCCTGACAGACAGGCATTTGAAAGATTATGTACGGCTCTAGGAAAAAAAGTATTTAGGAAAACTAGTACATTTTGATTAGAAAGTCTGAAAAGGAGGAGCTTGATCAAGGAGAATCAGTATGTTTGAGGAAAAAAAAGTTTGGATAAAGGTGGTAAGAGAGAATATATTGAGATGGTGTTTCTACAAACTGCCATGGCCAGATTTGTGTAAGAGACATTCAGTAAATTAGCAAGGAAAGAAATATTAGCACGTACAAAGAAACATTAGTAATACCAAAAGAAACCAATTATTCCAGATGCCAATGCCGTGATAGGGTTAAGAGATTCCCACCCCTCTAGTGGTCACCAGTGCAACCAGTCACTTTGCTAATTTACATCTTCTTTGTTTTAAGTGGCAGATATAGCTTTGAACTGGTACAGTGTAAGTAAGATGGAAGCATACTTGCCAGCTAAAAATCTAATTTTTAAAAACTCAAATTCTCTTAAAATATCAGTTCCCAGTATAGTAACAGCTGATAGTTAAAGTATCAGTAATTAGCTACCATTAACAACTGGCTCCTGAGAGATCTTAAATGTAGAGACAGCTTTAAACTCACAGCACAGAGTGATTTTTAGAATATATTTCCCCAAGCAAAGAATATAAACAGGAAGGAGCTTTAAGGGATTAGCCATCTCATTATTATTATTATTTAAAGAAATGGCAGTAAGCCTATAAAAGGAAAAGAAAATAAGACTGAGCAGAGAAGAAAGAGTTATGGTATGCTTTTCTCTTCTAGCAAAATTGATCTGTATACGCCTAGGAAAAAGCAATGACAAGAGTAATCAGTTTAAAAGATGTACACAAGAAAACATACGATAGTAACTAGTACTGCATTGCCATGAAGGAAGTTGTCGCCATCCCATAGATCTCATTCTCATTTCCTTGCAGCTCGAGACTACAATCAGCTTTGAAAAAATGACTGAATGGTTCAGTTCTAATGTTATGGAAGAGAGGAAGATCAAAGTGTACTTGCCTCGCATGAAGATTGAGGAAAAATATAACCTCACATCTGTCTTAATGGCTATGGGAATGACCGACCTGTTCAGCTCTTCAGCCAATCTGTCCGGCATCTCCTCAGCAGGGAGCCTGAAGATATCTCAAGCTGTCCATGCAGCATACGCAGAAATCTATGAAGCAGGCAGAGAGGTGGTAGGCTCAGCAGAGGCTGGAGTGGATGCTGCAAGCGTCTCTGAAGAATTTAGGGTTGACCATCCATTCCTCTACTGTATCAAGTACAACCCAACCAACACCATCCTCTTCTTTGGCAGATGTATTTCCCCTTAAAAGGAAGAAAGTTGAAAGAGCCTGTTCCTTTCAGCAAGACCCAGAGCACTGTAGTATCAGGGGTCAAAACAGAAGCATGTTCTTTGTTACATCCAGACTTTATAAAAGTTAGGGCTTTTTCTAGAAAAAAAAAAAAAATCAGAAAGAAGTTACACTATAAGAACAGGTGCACTTCACCTTTTCTTTACGCAAAGAGTAATACTGTTAACTCATGGATGAAGGGCTAAGGGAATGAAAATTAGACTTACAGTACTGAGTCATCACACTGAAAAATGCAACCTGATACATCAGCAGAAGGCTTATGGGGAAAAAATGCAGCCTTCCAATTAAGCCAGGTATCTGTATGACCAAGCTCCTCCACAATTAGTCACTCAAAATCTCTCAGACTAAACTGTCAACTGTCACCAACCATTCCTATGCTGACAAGGCAATTGCTTTTTCTCTGTGTTCCTGATACTACAAGGCTCTTCCTCACTTCCTAAAGATGCATTATAAAAATCTTATAATTCACATTTCTCCCTAAACTTTGGCTCAATCATTATGACCAAATATGGTATGTTACTATTCAAATTGTTTTCCTTGTATTCATATGTAATGGGTCTTGCGAATGTTCTCTTTTGTTCCTTTAATCATAATAAAAACATGTTTAAGCAAACACATTTCACTTGTAGTATTTTAAGTACAGCAAGGTTGTGCAGCGGGGAAAGAATGTCATGCAGAGGAATAAGCATGGACACACAGGCTAGCAGCAACTGCAGAACAAGTACTAATGGGTGAGAAGTTCAACAAGAGTCCCCCACAGCAACTTAATCTAATAATCTAGTGGTCTATGTCAGCTGAAAGAGCATAGCGAGGGAAGAAATTGGTTCTCCTTTCTAAGCACCACCTGGTACATCTGAACCAGTGCATCCAATTTGCTGCTTCCCTGGTCCCGGCTGGGGTGATGGGACAGATTTTGGCTTCGACTGAGATACCCAGAGGTCTGTCTCAGCTCACACTTCCTCAAGAACAGCTCACTGCCGACAGAAGAAAATTTAAAACTTATGGCTAGTGGTGACAGCAGTCAGTTGTCCCATCTGTGATCCACCAGGGCTGGCATGCTGGAATGAAGAGGCTTTGGTGGCACGTAACTGCTAGTCAGCACCACTGACATGGGCAGGGGAAGAAATGAGTGTAGTGTAAATCGCTGTCTCAAAGCCGCTTCTCCTCTGTGCCTGTACCATGTTAAGGCTCTTCTACAGAAGCTGGGTTTGTTCAAGAAAGCTTCTGTTTCTCCCACCTGCTGCTTGTACCTTCACAGGGACAGAGTGAGAAGGGTCCAGCCATGGCTGGAAGGGGCTGACTTTCAAATTTTCCTGGTTTCCTTTTTGCTGCTGCAGCTGCAGAAGAAAGGGTTCGGAAGCCAAGATTAAGATGAGATGAGGATGCCTAACCCATATTGGAACACTTGCACTGACACCTCAGGCTAATGGGATGGGACAACAGCTGGACTGTGGCTCACCCACAAGCTACAGAGCCTGATCTGTATTACCAGATTAGGAAGAGCAGAAGAACACGTATTAATAACAAGAGGTTTTCTGTGCTTCTCTACCAAAAGGTGCAGCCCATGAAGAGCCCACAGTGCAGCAGTGGATGAGGCCTGAAGGAGGCTGCAGCACATGCAGAGTCCTTGCAGGAGCAGCACACAGTGAAGCAGGAGGGCTGGGGGAACTGCCACCCCTGGGAACCTTTGTGAAACAGTGCATCCTGAATGGTGGACTCTGTGGAAAAGGAAAAGAAAGAAAACAGACCCGTGATGAACTGTCACACAAACTGCAGAGTGACAGAGGAGGGCTTGGGGCAGTGCGCTTACTGCAAGGAGTGGTGCTCCTTCCTCACAGCAGCGCAAACAGCTTGGCACCACTGCTGGGTGGTCTGTGGTGATGTTTTTTTCCAGTTTCACCACATTGCATTTTGCTTGTTCTACTTGTTTTAGCTCTCCCCCTCCACAAGATAACACATACCTTGGCAGTAGCTAGGGTCATAACTTACAGTTAGCAAACAGGATCTTGCAAAAGAAGGAAGATAACATGACACCACCTTCTCTGGTGTATAAATAGTTCAAATACTTTCCTTCACTTTCTTGTAAATTAGTCAATAGCTGGTCAGGAGATAACAAACAGGGAAACTTATTACAAGAGAGATAATGATGTTTAATATTGTCTCAGACCTTCTGTTGGTCTGAGCATGGAAATGGAGTACTCAAAATCCTCAGGACATTTACTTTTCACCTGATTTATTCCCAAACTGAACTATTTCTAGGCCATTGGAGTTCTTATCAATTAAATTATACTTATCCCCACAGAAAAGATGCCAAAAAAAGTGTATCTGTTTGTGTATGTGTAGATGGATTCAGTTCTGACACCTGATTTCTGCTGCACTCTGCCTCTACAGCAACACGCAAATATTCTAGTCTCCAGGAACCACTTCCTTAAGCAACTGTACTGTGTGTCCATTCCTCATACATAAATGAGAAAAGAGCATGAATTCTCAGCCCCATATTTTCAAAGTCTCAAAACTTTGGAACTGTTTTGGGATGTGGCAAACCACACATCCACCAAGGAATGGAAACCAGAGTCCTCTGATCTCAAACACATAAATATTCATCTAGCAGTCAAAACAGTCAATAGCCTTCCATATCTGAGGAGCTGCAGAGCTTCTCTAATAACCAGCACAGGGACAGCAGGCCTGGAGGTAGCCCCAGGGCCAGTGACACATATCTGACCTCCATCACCCAGCAATGTTGCCATCCCCACAGAAGTGAAGTAATCAGCACTGCACCTATGGCTCTCTGCTATCTCATGCCTTTTTATCTTCAGCATCACTTTCAGCACAATTAAAAGAGAAGGCTCAGACTCACAGCTTTAGAACTCATCGTAAGAGGCTTTGATTGCTCTGCCACCACACCCCATATAGACCCGTAGTATATCACGTATGCAAAGAAGCACAGTGGATTAGTGAATTGCACAGAGACAAAACCACACCTATTTGTCTGCCTACTGTCTTACACCAGCAGGAAGGTAATTCATGTAATGAATTTCTATAAAGATGAGAGAATACGGCCCTTGGGTCCTACAGCTTGTTCTAGTCCTAGTTCTTCAAATAGATAAGAATGTAAGTAAAACTACTCACTTGAGCAAACGCAGCGATTTGCAGGAATTGATATTCTGAAGTTCAGGTCATTAGAGTGATTTGGCTGGAAAGGGCATCTGAAAATCACCTGGTCCAGCACCTTGTTCAAAGCAGAGCTACCTTCACAGCCATATCAAATAGCTCAGGACCTTGCCTAGTCAAGTGCTGCCTATTTGTATGGTTGGAGAACCCACAGCCTGCTGATTAATTTGATTTTAAACATAAATTCAAATGTCACTGGTGTAGCAGTAGTGAAAGCCATTCAACTGGCTTTACTTTCTCTTACCAAATGAGAATTAGCTGCAGGTGAGAATAAGCCCTGCCAGTTCTTTGTTTTGTCTCCCACAACCCACAAAGCTCTCATTGTCTGTCCTCACTTTTAATACTTTTGAACCAACATCTACAGATTATCTCTGTAAATCCCAAGCAGTGCCTAGTCACTGTGTGAACAACAAATTCCTACATTTAACAATATTTTAGAGCAACGGCCAGATAATATGTAGCTGCACACTGCACATTTTTATACCCAATAGCATAATTTATACTTCGGCTCCATGTTGCTGCCATGTGGATAACAGTGTGCAATCATTTGTACCTGGCCTCCTTTCCTAACTAGTATATTCTTAAATGTCGCAAGATAAAGACTCTAATTTCATATAGTCTAACCGCCTTGTGACATGAGCAAACACAATTTCATGGCACTCCTAAGGAAAAAAGGATCCCAAACCAATTTTGAGCTTTTACATATTTTTTCAACCCACAGAGCTACTTTTGTTAAATGTTAGCAATAGCAACCCACGGTCTGAAATCAATGCAATGAACTTCTACCGTGGGTACCATACTGACAACAGGAATGGTGCAAGTCCTCACACTGGAAGGCTGACTCCTTAGTCACATAGGTAAAATTTAGAAATTGTGCTCTGATAAGAGGTCAGTATAGGAGAGGGAAAATAATGAGGTGCCAGATGAACGCACCTTCCTGTAAGGAAGGCAGAGAGATGGGAATTAAAGATGGACAAGGGATGCTGTGGAGGTACCATTAACTTTCACAGGGCTGTAAGAGCAGCTCTCTTCCTTACTGATTCTCTGCTGCCTCATTTCTTGTGGGCACAGTTTGTTACTCTCCAGTAACGCCCCTTCTCCAAGCTGTTACCTATTCCCATCCTCATCATGTCCTCCTTTTTGCTCCCTGTCCTTCAGCAGTCTACCTGCTTCTTAAGGCAGTGAAGTTAGAAGAGCAGAGCTGGGGTCAAGCTCTGTCTCTACGAGGGTAAATGCCAGGGAGATAAAGGTTTAGAGTGGGAGGACAGCCTTTTTCCTGTGTTGCTCAACTACTTAGTCCAAGCTGCATTTCAGCTTCGTCTGCAGAAGATGGGGGATAGAGGGTGATCAATGTCATTGCTCCAGCCACAAAGCAAGGGCTCTGTCTCTCCTTACATGCAATCTGCTAGCTTTCCTTAGTCAAATGTTTCCCTCTGTGCTGCAGAGTCCACGTTAAAGAGGCCTTGTCTACAGCTAGGTCTATGTTCCCAGAGAAACAATTAGCAACTGCAAAATCAGGAGGTACTAAGAAAGCCTCTGAAGGCTTTCCAGATCCAGGGGTCTGGAAAATGAAGGGGGATTGACAAGAAGAAAGAAGAGTCTAGAGCAGTTTAAGGGAGCAATGCCACTAGTTTTAAGCAACACATCTGGTGTTTAGCTTTAATCTTTGAAAGAGAAAGAAGTCTGAAGGTGCACCAGCCTAAAATAAAGCCTTAAAAGTCTGCACATAGCTGAATCCCAACTGGAAAGAACAGCTTCAAAGAGCTTGGAAGTGCTGAGATGAAGAAGAGCATGTGATCATTAGAAGATTTCAAAAGAAGGTCCTCAGCACAAAATCCAGAAAGTTCACCTTTCTGTGGGACAAAAGATGCATCCCTCACAAAGGCTGGAGGAACAAAATCTTTGTATCTCATTTTGCCTGAGAGCAGAAGGGAATACAAGATCATCTTGTTTCACTTGGTGTACACCACATCATTAATTTCTATTTGGTCACTGCTATGCAGAACTTGCTAACTTGAATTGTGTAAAAAGCACACCTGGTCTCAAGAGACTGAGATGCTTAATGCAACAGGTAGAGTGTAAGACACGGAAGGATGAAAAAAATCTTGCAATGATGAAGGCATGATAAGAGATGTTCAAATGATACTAACAAATGACACTCTATCTTGTCCAAGATTTTTGTCAATATGAAGGGAAAATTCTATTCCAAGCTCCCTTTAAAGGGTTACTGTGTTCCAGGACAAAGACTTGCTGCATGCACAGGTGCCCTTACATAGCTCAGATCAGTCCCATCCTACAATGTGTGAAAATAGAGATACGAATAAGGGGCCAAGCAGATGTGTAAATAGCAAAGATTGCCAGTATGTGTTCACAAATGAGTTTTTGAACATTTCACTGCTGAAACTTCTGAAAATATCAACTGCCTTATGAAACTCTGGTTATTCCACCACACAGGAGTATTTGTGGTCAAGCTGCATGAAGAAATAGCAAGTGTTTAAACTAATTTCCCAAAAGAGAGCCTTTCCTCTACATGCTGCTCTTGCACATCCATGCGTGACTCCTGCTCAGGAGCAGGAATTGGTTTTCTGATTCAGCAGTTGTGTAGCTGATGTAGTTACACCCTTTGAGAGATTTCTTCAGAAAAATGACATGCTTAGGCTAAAGTGCATGCAATCCACACATACACCATTACTCGCAACGGAGTACTGCGCAGCATGAAATTCAAGCTATTCTTCATATTTTTGGTTTTAACTGCTACCTTGGTTACTTAAAAAATGCCCAACATCTGATTCATTCAAAGGAAAACTGCACACCGGTAGATGTGAGAACAGCATGCATGTTAATTTCCATATAAACTTATCTCTTTTCAGATATCGAGATCATTGCTTCCCCAGAAGTGTTGCACTGGTCATCAGAACAGAATATCTCAGGAGAAACACTGCCTTTACTAATTACAGCATCTAAGCTAAAGCACACAGTGGTTATAGTACAGTATGACAAATTATGCCAGTGCTCAATTCATGTGCCAAATCTCACCACGCCTTTGCTTTCGGCAGGTGTGGAGCAAAATGCCTCAGTAATATTTAGACAGGAACACCACCACACCTCTTAACAGCTCACAAAGTCTAAATGCTATTGGAGTATGTCAGCAAAGATTGCTTGGCAAGGGAAGGCTTGCGAATGTACATGTAATACGTACACATTAGATATCTATCTACACTGTTTCAAAATAAAGACGCATGTGTTCTCACTCAAAGCTTTGAAGGGAAATAAGCTACTCAAAGAAGTAAATTCTTTTGAACTTTAAAAGCTATTTGAAACTTCACGATGATACAAATTTATCCCAGATAAAAATCTCTTGGGACATAAATCAAAATCTGTTACAATTGTTCCAGCAGAGACCCATACACCATCGTACACTTTAATTTACAAGGTCAGGACAAGCTCTTGCTGCATTCTGTGACAAAAGGGTTCCTTCTCACACCAAAGTCCATGTACTCACTCCAAGCACATGATCACTGATCACCATTACCACCACCTCAGTCTCTGTGCTCCTATTCCCTGTACTGTTCTGGCCCTTGAGAATTACAGGACTGTTATGAAACTAAATGTTAAGCTGCCCTCCCACAGGATTCCAGTATTCTCAGGTTTCAAAACCCTTGTCTTCCCCACCCCTCTTATCTCCTGAAGTCCTTATAATGGTTTGGGACATTTAAAATCCTTTCATGTTTAAAACTTACTGCCCTGTTCTGGCTGAGCCAAAAACATGCGTAGAAAGCTGTTTGCTGAATACCTACAGCACAGGTTGGCAGCATTCCTACACAAAAACCATACATGGCATGTTGTATTCTAAAATACTATGTGAGAGCAGAAGCTATGAAATCTTTCTCTCAAAACCCCTAAGTACTTTTAGATCACTTCACAAACGATCTATGTGGACGTCAAGTATTTAGCCTATTCCTGATCCCAGGTACCAACAAACAGCAACATACTGTGTAAGAAAGTTGTATTGGCTTGTGCTAAGTTGCAAGGAAACTGAAGGAAAACAAAATGTGCTTATATAGCTGAGATCTGGCCGGGGTGCCTGATGTGCTGCCAATATTTGTCCTGCCGAAATGGAAATATGAATGACCACAGTGAATGAGCCACAGGCTTACTTCCCACAGGAAGGATACTACCAATACAAACGTAAGTCTTTGAGCATGTTGGAGTGTTGACTTAGTATAGAGTGGGAGTGAGGGAACCACCGCTCCTGAGTCAGCCTCAGCACCGCCCATTGAACTCTGTATCTTCTAGTGCTGGTAACTTCACAGGATGCTGGAAAATGTTATCATCATCACACTGATTTACTGTATATATCTCCCTTTTAGGCGAGAACAATTTTAGCTACTCTGTATGTTTTTTTTTTTCCCCACTAGTAACCAGCCATGCTATTCAAAAGGCATTTTTAAAAGGCAACTTTAAGACCTTGTACAAACACCATCCTCTCATTCATTCAAATCCCACATTTGTGCATATATGGAACAGCTCAGTCACTTCTTGTAACAGAGTAAGCACTATGACTAGTTAGCAAATTAAATTCATCCCTGCTTTAAAAACAGAAAATCCAAGTCGCTGCTCCAAGGGATGAAGTTTATTTAGTGAATCTATCATTTGTTCTACAACACAGTTAAATTTGCAAAGATGACTCAAATCATTTAAAGCTTTGGAAATCATTTAAGGCCAATGTAAACAGATTACAACTTTCCCAGGCGCAATGGAAGCAATTAATTCTGCAATGAACACCTCTCCTACACTACTGTGCTCTCTGGAAAACTTAACAGATGCATCTAATTATAACCCACACTGAAACATGGTGTTTCTGTGTAGCTACAATTTCAAAACAGCCGGAAGGCAGGGAAGAGCCATCCTGTTAAAGCTATGAGGCTGTTTCCCTATAGGAAAGCATCTTTAGCAAAGCTCTGAGTTCCCAAGTCACATTGATGCAGAAAGTTCACCACTGGCAAGGTGCCCTTTGCGTGAGCAACCTCTTCTGCCATATAAAACATTTGGCAGATAATCCCATAGCTCAGTCCTTAACACAAGAGACTGTGCCAGCCACTCCTCTACAGAATAAGCCCACGTGCAGATTCATAGACCTCAGGGCAGAGGAAAGGTTTCAGAAAGCAGTTTGCACTGAGAAGATAGACCTTGGGGTGAGTCTTTCTCAATATTGAGGAGGAATCCCTCAAAGACAAGCAGCTCTTATCCAGGTGTTCAAGGTGATATTTTCAACAGAGCAAGGAGGTAAAGAATGAAATAAGGGGCAGAGTTACATAGGATTTTTCAGTCAGAGGTGAGAGCTGAGATGGACAGGACAATGGAGGTAAGGACAGTGTGACTGTGAGGAGAATTAGCAACGGAAATGCTTCAGTAGCCAAGGCAAGAAGAAAAAGAGTATTCAATAGAATATCAGTTTCTGGAGAAAGTAAAGAACACATCTCTGAAATGCTACAAAGGGCAAACAGTTGCTTTCAACTTAGAATAGGGAAACTGAGGCAGCAGAAAAAAAAACAAACAAGTCTAATCTGAAACCCACATCAGGTTCTAGTGTTGCTGCAGCGATAAGAAAAGTGTCTGATAAGTGTTTCTCAACCTTTGTTATCTCACAATGAAAATGCTTCCCTGCTTATACAGTTTTAGAATCCTCCAAGATTAACAAAATCCACTTTACTAAAATAGAAGCCCACCAGAAATGACCAACTTTTTATCAGCAGGAAACAGACAATACAAAAACTCACAAATATGATGTCACTGTCCTTTCTCTGTTCTTCGGAAACTGTTTCTATTAGAGGAATCATAAGTAGGTCAGCTACTGCATTTTTTTGGCCTCCAAATTGCAAAAGAAATGTTGTTTCAAGCAGTGATAGTTCAAGTTGTTACTAGCCTGTTGCCACAAAAACATTTATAGAAATATTTCTGCAGTCAGTTTTGTAAGGTTCTTGTATGGTATTACCCTCACCGTCACTTCACATCCTACTCTGAGATGATTCAGTTCTTCCATAGGGATGTGGCCTTTAGGGCAAAATAAATTGCAAAGTCATGAGTCATAAGAACCTTTGAAGAACAGGTCAGGCAGACTATAAATTCAGCCTACCCACCATCTGAACTGCAGAAACCTTGGACAGACCCAGAGCAGCAGTCTTCCTCCCTGCACAAAATAAGGTACTGTAATTATTTCTAGAGATTGTTTATTTCATGTACTCTTGGGTGATGTTAACAAATGCATAGAAAAAAAGGCAGAAGAAATCTGAATAGAAAAGAACAAATACTTGAGGAAGAATTTTACTAAGATGGCACAGGTAAGGTCTAGAAGAAGCAAGTCTGAGAAATATGCAGCAAGAGCAACTTATTCTATGTAATTCTCACTGGCAGACATGTATATCATAGCAGAATAAGAACCACTGTGTTTGCTTAACTTAGATCATTTGTTCCTGTGCTCTTCAGTTCTCATGTACATCAAGACACAGTCAGTACATCTTTATGGCCATTCTGTATAAACCAGAATAGCTCTTATTACATACCTAAGGCTCTCAGCTTCAACTGCAATGCAAAGAACAAAGAACAGCATTTGTGTTCTACTGAGTAAGGAAATTTTGTTTTGCAGAACTGGGAAGCTAGCACCCTAAGACAGAGTTTCAGGAAATTTTTGAAAGTTAAAAATGGAATTCAGGATATTTCTTACCACACAGTAGTTAGAGACTGCTTGCCTAGTGCTTCAATATTTTCTTGTATCCTAAAGGAATAGAGTATTTGTTCACTACATGAGCACCAAAAGGCTCTTGCACCAGTAGTCATAAGAAACAATCTCTCAGCGTCTTCTAGCCCATGTACCAGTGAGTAACATTATCATATGTCACTCGAAGATACTGTAAAGAACAGTGCAATAAATGTCCTGATGAACAAATACAAAATGGAATAGGAGGCTGCTTTTTCTGCATCATTTGAGTTTGATTAGTGTCGTTGGTGAAATGGGCTATGCTACACTTAATATGACCTTTTAGTAGCTAATACTCCTCATTTTTCATAGAGACACCTCTCTTCTTTTTTTTCTTTCTCTCTTTCTTTCTGTAAGATCCTTACCATATCATGATATTGCTTACATAGAATTCACCATATAGTTAAAAATTGCATGCTTTTTCTTTTAGTACAACACTGTAATCACGTTATGTTGATGAATTTTCATTTGTTCCTCTTGGCTGTCCCTTGCACGGATACCTGTCTTTCCAAGTGAACTTCTGCTGATCCAAGGAGAGTTCACTCATACACTACAAACAACACACATAGTTGGCAGAAATGAATACCGTACCAGTGCTGACAGGTCAGAATGCTTTCATTCAGTTTCCTGAAGTCAGAGGAGAGCTGAGGAAAATACTGGCACAGTCTAGATTTTGCCTTTGGACATACACTGCCATGTGACTCTCAGTCATTCAAAGGATCACTGTGCTGCACTGTCAATCTTCCACAGTCAGTAAGTGTTGAAAATACTTCTAGAAAGCCTACAAATCATAAAAGAAACTTCAAATACTGAAAGGAAGCCTGCAGACATATGGTAAACACAACTAATTCTTAGCTAATAACATCTTTCGTCCCTTTCTGTGCAGGTTCAGAACAATGGAAGCTTTAAATAAAGCAAACACAAGCTTTGCTCTTGACTTATTCAAACATGAGTGTCAGGAAGATGACAATGAGAACATCTTGTTCTCCCCTTTCAGTATTTCATCTGCCCTCGCTACTGTCTATTTGGGAGCCAGAGGCAACACTGCAGATCAGATGGCAAAGGTGAGTCTGAGAAGAGTTGATCTCTTAGGGTAACATTCTCTCTGAAAGAAATTGACCATGATGCATCAACGGAAAACCATATACAGGTCAAAAGACATAGCCTCCACTAGCTTCTGCAAACACCAAATGGGAGCAGTGGCACTAGTCACTGCAGACACTCTCTCCTTTTAAATCTCACTGGAAGAAAGAAGGGTTCTTTATCCCAAAGCTCAATAATTGAGCACTCACCAGTGAGAGAGAAACTTGGATTCTCCACCTGCCTTGCCCCAGAAAATTCTCATTTTCTGTCTCATCTCTTTGGAAATGGCCCTATGCAGAAAGACCCTTTGCTATATCTCTAGTCAGTTTCGGGCTTTGCTAACATAAATCTACAAACTCACGAGGTCAGAGAAGAAAAAGGGCGATAATACAACCCCTTCTTTTGAGTATGTATTTTACAGGAAAAATGACCTACTGAAGTTCCTAAACTCTATTAGTGCAAAGTTCACAGCTTCAACAGGCAACACTGAGAACAGTCCCAATGCAAACATGGTTACCTAGCCTGTACTGCAGGAGAACTGGTGAACTGGCATCTGCTAAGGCAGGAAGCTGCACCGCCTGCTAAAGCAGCAATCCAACTATTGAGCTACAGGACAAATGAGGACCAGCAGGGTCACAAAGAAAGGAGAGATCTTCTGTCAGGAAGAAGGGAAAACAAAACAAAACAAAAGGCTTCTGAAAAAATGTTCCAAGGTTAGATGTACAGTTTTGTAGCCTGGGTAAGGTGCACATGCCCAGAGGAAGGCATGTAGGGTATGAATCTGCTCCCAGTGTTTTCTGACACGTAGTGGGCTCTCCGTTCACACCTATGCTTCGGTAGTTTCCACCTGGAAATAACTGGCCCTTCCCAGGTATAATCCTGTGAGTACAAGGGCCAACTTGAAGCAGGCAAATTCCTCTAGAAATACCAGATAAATGAGAGTTCTGCTTGCAACCCTCATCTAAGTATGCTCAAGACATCTTGTACACAGGGGTTCAAAAGTAAAATCTGGTGTTGTCTTTTCATCACCAGACCTATGACATCACTGAAAGTTTTCACTGAAACAGCAAATTTTCTGTTACTGCATTGATTACTGCAATTTCCACTATAGGTACTCTACTTCAATGAAGCTGAAGGAGCCAGAAACGTCACCACAACTATAAGAATGCAAGTCTATTCCAGAACAGACGAGCGCCTATCAAATCGCCGTGCCTGTTTCCAGAAGGTAGATCACCAAGTCCAATGATCACGTAATGGTCATGGTAACACATTCCCTCGCTTTTATTTTGTCTCTCTGCTTGCCTTCCTTAAATGCAGTATACACAACTATTTGGTATAGCATCCTGTGATACCTTCATCTTATGCAATATTTGAGACATGTTTCCCATTTTTAGGTAGAATTGCAAAATTTAACCTCAAATTTGTGAAATTTGAAATGTAATGATGGGGCTATTCTCTATCAATGATCTTTATCTTTTCCCTTCAGCTTTGAGGAGAGGTTTCTTTCTCTCTTTTTTTTCTCTTTCTTCTTTCTTTTTTTTCCTCTTTCCTTCATTCTTCCTTCTCTTTTTCTCTTTCAATCTTTCCTTCATTCTTTTCTTCTTTCTTTCTTTCCTTTTAACTATCACTGTTCAATAGCTAGTTATTTAGCAACATGTTCTTTGAACAGGCATGGTCCCTATCTCAGAACAAATCAAAACAATACTACTCTCCCACACATTTGATTGCAGCATCAACACAACAGCAACAAATAAAACAACTACAGAAGTATCTTTTACAGGCTACCTGTGCTTGATATATTTCAGAAATTAGTTTCTATTTCATTCGTAAGTTTAGTAAATAACCTGGCATGTTGGAACTTCCTAAGGCAGACTTTGCAATAAATCTTAAAGAAATGGAAACTATCGTATTCCTGAGATATTTCTTTGACAGACTGGCAGGCATCTTTTTTCAAAATAGACTTCATTTAAGTGAGCAGAAAATTTGGAAATCACACTCTGAGTGAGTAAAGCCATTTTTGCTCACTGACAATGCAGCCACTGTGGTAAAAAGTTCCTCTCCCTACTCTTTCCCATCAGTCTTTTTTCTTTCTGTGGGTAAATCATTTCCCTGAAGTCCATCCACAAAACCCCTGTGGCAGCAAGTTCTGATAAATGGGAACTTGGGTCTACAGCCACGGTGGGAAGAGTAATTTTGGGGACTACATCAACAACCCATTTACACTGCATGAACAGGAGATGGATTGTTTCTCATGAGTAATGCTTGTCTGAACTGTAAGAACTATGGAGCACGTTAGGCAGTGAAAAGAAACTGTTCTAACAGCTTAGAAATTTAGATGGCTGTTCATGCCTCTGATTCTCTTGTAGTAACAAGGTGAATACAACACAGGTCCAGTTTTTTAGTTCAATAATTCACAGCTTCATTTCCTCAAGCTGGTTTGACAGTTTGAGTCTGCATTCGTTTAATCCTGTTACTTAAATATGAAGAATTTATTGCAATTACTGCAACAAAAAGCATCTGCAAAATATGACTATTTAGAGGAAGGTTAAAAAAGTTAGGGGAAAACTTACCACATAATTAACTTTTATAAATCTTACCAGGAGTCACACAGCCAAGTCTTCATATATAGTTTAGCAATTACATTCTGTCTCTCTCTTTGATGTACTTGCTTTTGCAACCTCCATTTAGAATCCCTCAAACATTCTACACAGTTTAAGCTCTTACTACTTGCACTCCAGGGCTCTTACAGAGTCTATAGCATTGTGAAACTTTTAGTAAACTCACGTCAATCTTTTTATATCTGAGTTATTACACATCTTGCACTGCAGTACAGTCAACACCACCTGAATAGCAATAGTTTACATAGAGCTGCACGAGGAACGAATTTAGAAATTTTGAAATGCATAACCCTTATTTCCTTGTCTCCAAGACAGAAATAGGCAAATCAGGTAATATCCATGCTGGGTTTAAAGCACTCAACTTGGAAATCAACCAACCCACTAAAAATTACCTGCTCAGAAGTGTCAACCAGTTATATGGAGAAAAGTCGCTGCCTTTCAGTAAGGTACGTAGGCCATTTATTCATGTTATACTGCGTCAAAGTATAAAGTCAAACTTTATGATCTACCTATGACAACAAACAATAATAATTTATACACCTTCAAATATTTTCATTACATCTGCAAATTGTGTTATTATCTCTCACACGCATACTTCCTGTGAGGTTCTTCTTCAGAATTTAGATATCATGATTTTACTTTTCTAGGAGGTGTATTTAATTTGTGTGATTCACAGTTGTGGCTAGGCAAAAACATTTAAATTATGCATTTCCAAATTAAAAAAGTACTGTGTTCTTCTGACAAAATGCTGTAGCCTATATAATTTTTATTCGTTCTCTCCACTTGGCTATAGTTATTTATTGGCATTTACGTGGCAGGCAACAAACATAAGACAGATGTCTCTCTTCCACTGCAGGAATACTTACAGTTAGCCAAGAAATACTACAGTGCAGAACCACAATCAGTTGACTTTGTGGGAGCAGCAAATGAAATCAGAAGAGAGATCAATTCCAGGGTTGAACACCAGACTGAAGGTAAGCTCAACCATCTCCTCTCCCAGTTCTGAAGGAAGCAATTTTAGTCATGAAAAAATTCTCTGTGCCCAAAGGGCCTAAGGCAGGTAAACAATTTAACTCAGAAAGGGAAATCAGAACAATTTTGCTGAAGTAATCATCTGCTGGAAAGCCCTTAGTAAAATTATCTTTCTCCATTTGAATGGGAAAGGAATGTGGTTTTCTCTATAAAAACAATGTTGTCGTGTATTTGTGAATAATCTCAAGCTAGAAGCATGCCAATTCAACACTTCCAATTTCCTTATTTCTTCATTAACTATGCCAACATTTACTCTGAAACAGTAAAGGTGCACAAATATGTAAATGTTCTTTGGTTTTCTGTAGGTAAAATAAAAAGTCTGCTGCCTCCTGGATCCATAGATTCACTCACCAGGCTAGTCCTGGTAAATGCACTGTACTTCAAAGGAAACTGGGCAACAAAGTTTGACGCTGAAGAAACCAGGCAAAGGCCTTTCAGAATAAATACGGTATGGTAACATACTGCCTTATATACCAGACTGCAGGTTGAAAAAACAGTGAAAAAGATGGAGGAGATAAATTCCTGCCATTCTTTAAATCCACACTGCACTAAAATTAGAATATTTAAAACATATGTTATATCCATAACACATCCATAGCACATCTTCAGTACAAAGATTGCACACACATGCTAGCACCCAAGGCACAAATAAAATTAACATAAGCCAGCTTGAAACAAACTTCCACACACCTCTTAAAGCAGGAAAACATAGATGTATATAAAACTGTATGAACGAGTTCTATATATTTTCATTTTTAACCATACAATGAATCAGAGTGGAACAGAGCTTCCAGTAAATATGTGTCATCCTAGCTGGCTAAGATAGCCTTTTTAGCCTCCAAGTGCATTCCCAGAAGAGAGGGGCCCTCTGTAGATCCTACAGCTTCTCTAAGAGCCACAGGGATGTACCTCCCCCACGCTATTCAATGTAGTCTTTTACTTTTCTGGGTATAAATAGCAAGCTTTTCATTTGATTTGTTGCAGCATACAACTAAACCAGTGCCAATGATGCACCTGGCTGATAAATTTAATTGGACCTACGTAGAATCAGTCCAGACTGATGTTCTTGAACTTCCATATGTCAATAACGACCTCAGTATGTTCATCCTGCTGCCACGGGATATCACTGGCCTACAAAAGGTAAAGGGTAACTGTAAGCTCAAATTGTGTGAGAAACAAGAATGTTTTCATGCATATCCATGGTAAAACATTAGGTTACAGCCTTATTTCTAGGAAGGAAGGTTTCCTTGAAGAAGGCTCAAGGAAAAACAAACCTCAAACTTGCTCAAATGTTATGAAATTGAACCTCTTGAATGTTTTGTTTAGTTTTCTTTTTAGCTCCTGGCAGGTGGCACTTCTGTGCTTTCTAATGTTGATCAGTGCTGGAAATAAGTAGCCCAAACCCAACAAGACTGGCTCTAACTCTAGCTGAAGAACAATGAGGACAGAAAGACAGTTCTGCTGACTGTCTGTACTGACTCAGATGGATATTATTACAATTAAAAAGAAAAGCACAACCTAGACACCCTGCATTACTTTCTATGATGTTCAGAGCTAATATACATGCACACTGCCACCTTCTGTAAACACACTGAACCTGACTTCAGATAGTAAACTATTGTGAAATTCTCATTTATATTAGTGGGTGCTTTGTAGAAAAAAAAGTTATTTTCACTAAATTCTAAGACATACAGAAAACAGAAATGTGAGCACCAAGTCAAATAGACTGCTGTTACTTGACGGTGATGTTGTTTTACAAATATTTAACCCCTCTACATTTCCTGATGATTACTGAGAACAGTTCAAATGCTGCACTGGCATACAGTAGAGCAAAATATTCCTTCCTAGTAGGAAATATTTCAGAGTTGGCAATTCACTAATGGTTTTTGTACTTGAAAAGTACCATTTTTCTCTACAAAAAAAGGTACAAAATTTTCGTAGCTTGAAAAGTTCTTAAATAAAAATACAGAAGAAATAACCCTTAGGGATCAGTTTTTTGAACACTGTGTAACTTTTCTGGTTCTCTTTTCAATTAACTGCAGCTAATAAATGAATTGACTTTTGAAAAATTGTCTGCATGGACCAGCCCAGAATTAATGGAGAAAATGAAAATGGAAGTGTATCTGCCCAAGTTCACAATAGAAGAGAAATATGACCTGAAATCTACTTTGAGAAAGATGGGGATAGAAGACGCTTTCACAGAAGGTCAAGCTGATTTCAGGGGAATGTCAGAGAATGCTGACCTGTTTCTGTCACAAGTTTTTCACAAATGTTATGTGGAAGTCAATGAAGAAGGCACAGAGGCAGCAGCTGCCAGTTCAGCATCTCTAGCATCACGAAGCCTTGGTGCTGCAGTTTTTTTTGTAGCAGATCACCCTTTTCTCTTCATTATTAGACACAACAAGACCAAGTGCATCCTTTTCTTTGGAAGGTTCTGCTCCCCCTAGAAAATCAACTGTTAATAAACAAGCCCTTACAACAACGATGTACACATGTATGCCACGAAGAGCACCTCAACAGACTGTGAACTTTACCATAATTTTCCTGTACTATTGACAATCTCTGCTAGAAGAGAGCTCATATTAAAAATAACAAGAATTCAAGCCTCTGATTCATTTTCCTTTATAAACATATTATACAGCACTACAAAACACCAAACTGCACACTGAACAACATGGATGTGTCTTTTCAGTGCTTTCCAAACCAGAACTGCTACAATGCAGAACAGACAAGGCTGATCTAAAACAGTACTTCCCGATACAATTCCTTTTGCACATAAGAAGAAAAGAAGCAGGAGAAACTCATTCCTGTATAAAGTTGTCACATCTCTTCAAAACTAACTGTCCCAGGCCACCTCTACCACAGCCTTTTCAGTTTTAAATCAGCTTCACAACATAGCATGGCTGGTAATGAAACAAAGCTGCAAAATCCTCTGTGTTGCTGGTACTGTCGGTTTGCTCTTGCACACAAAGGAGCTAACACATGTACTTTCTAATCTCTGACCCTCATAAATTGGCAAATACCAAACAATGCAGAACCAGAGTTAAATAAAACACATACCTTGAAATGCTCTCTTTTGTCCTAACCTTTAATTCATTCAACACTGTTGCAGCCCAGCACTGCTTTACACTCCTTTGCCACTTATTTTGATGCTTGAAGGCAAGACCAACTGGGAGAATCAAATCTGTAATGTTAACTCCCCAAGTGCTGTCTGAAAGACTGCATGCAAATTCTTCCCTACATATTCACTGCTTTCACAGCTCTTACTCCTAAGGAGGGGGAATTCCCAATCAGTCATGCACATCTAAGAACACAAGTGTTGATTCTACTTCTCTGAATTCAGAATGGTGAGAAAAGGACCTGGCCTCTTCACAGCACTTGCACACATTGACAGCATCTCACTATAAACATCCCTTCCCAAGAAGGTAGGATACCTTTTTTCTGGCAGAGAGAGGAGTGTTGACTGATGGTGGGTCTTTTCTGTATTATTCCATGTGGCCAGGCTCCTTTTGGCTCTGCTTTCCCAAATGAGAAGGAACATAGGGAGAGTGTTGCGAAGCAAATGCTCTATTGTATCCTCACAAAGCTTCACAAGCACTGCCTTCTGCCTCAGCTGTGAAACATATCACAGGATCTCTATGCTCAGAGGCGTTTCTGACATGTCCTGCTTCACCTAACAGAATGGCTTCATGTCCCAAAGGAAAAGTCACTCAAGGACTACCTGATATTTCTCAGGAATAAAGACACAAAAGTCATGTCTGGGAGGCCAACGAGAAACAAAACCCCAACAGTGCGCAACCAAACTCAGAAACAAATGTCATCCACCTTTTCTATTTTAAGCGTAGTTGCAAAGATGAAAGAATGAATGTCCTGTTGGCAATGCTGGATCATTACCAAAGGCCAATGGCAACCAAATTAGAGGGTGAATCTTGCATTGAGGAAAAACATTTTCTCATGGTAAGTAGCACACACTGGGGCAGACTGCCTAGAAAAATTGAGGATTTCCCATTCAGGAAAGGGCTGTAGCTGACCTAATTTACCTGTGGGCCTGCTCCAGGCATGCACTGGACTATAAACCAGCTTCTGTCTTTTTTCTGTCAACATCCATTCTACCTTAGCACCTCAGTTTCTCATCCTCTCTGGCACCTGTGCAGCTTGACTTACAGGGGCACTTAGCTTGCTTGCTTGCTCTCAGCTTATTTCTTTAGGATTTGGAATCTCTCTAGCTTGGCCTTTCCCTCCGATCAATCATTCAGTGGACTTTTCTTCTACCCTGAATTTTTTTAATAACCTTTCTCATTGTACTAACGTCACCACTTGTTTAATTTCTGACATTTCTTCACTGCCTTGCATAACACTGATTTCTATGACTTTTCAGAAGACTTGACCCACACTGTTCCTGTAATCAGACTTACAGCAAAATGCTTGGCAAACCATAGTTTCCTTCCCTCCCTCTTCTTTCCTTCCCTATCCCTTAGACTCTTACAGATGTTGCCACTACCTTCCCCTTCTCCTACCCACCCAAGAGCAGCCCTGCTGTTTTCTGGGACAGCAGAGTGACAACTATCGTATTTATCCCTGCTGTATTTTTTTCACTCCTTCCTTGCTCAAGTTCTGCCAGTGGGGCTGCTTCAGTTCTTGCCTTCCTCCATGGCATACAAGTACTGTGCACTCAGTATTTTGCAGTTTTTCTCTGAAGTGTTTCCCAGCTATTCCCAGCAATTAGATTCTTTCACCAACACAAGAAGCAAGGTGTTCAGCCTTACATCTTCAATGGCTTTGCCTCTGCCTGTGCTCCCAATGATCTTCACTCTGAAGCTTGACTCTCAGAGCCTAATTCAGTCTGTAAGCTCTTGACATTTTACGCCGATGCATCTTATTCATAGAATCATAGAATGGCTTGGGTTAGAAGGAACCTCAAAGATCATCTATTTCCAAGCCTCCTGCCAACGACTAAATCAGGCATTAGATCAGGCTACCCAGGGTCCCATCCAACCTGGCCCTGAACATCTCCAGGGATGGGGCATCATAGCTTCTCTGGGCAGCCTGTTCCAGCATCTCACCACCTTCTCAGTGAAAACTTTCCCCAACATCTAATCTAAGTCTACCTTCTTTTAGTTTAAAACCATTCCCCCTCGTACTATCACTATCTACCCATGCAAAAAGTTGATTTCCCTCCTTATTTATAAGCTTCTTTTAGGTACTTGAAGGCTGCTATCAGGTCTCCCCTGATCCTTCACTTCTTCAGACTGAGGAATCCCAGCTTCTGCAGCCAATCTTCATAGAAGAGGTCTTCCAGTTCTCTAATCTTCACGACCCTGCTCTGGACTCGTTCCAAAAGGTCCACATATTTCCAGTGCTAGGGCCTCATGCCTGGACACAGCACTTCAGATGGGGCCTCATGAGGGCAGAATATAGGGGGACAATCACCTCCGTCTCCCTCCTGGCCACCCTTCTTTTGATGCAGCCCAGGATACTGTTGGCTTTTCAGGCTGCAAGAGCACACTGCTGGCTCCTGTTAAGTTCTTCATCTGCCAGGATCCTTAAGTCCTTCTCAGTAGGGCTACTCTCAATGAGTTCTTATCCTAGTACGAATACACATCTGGGATTGCTTCAGTACAAGTGCAACACCTAACACTTGGCCTTTGTGAACCTCCTTATGTTCACATGGACCCAATCCTCAAGACTGTCCAGGTCTCTATTAAAAAACAAAGAGTCATGGCTTCACAAGGCTGGAAAGTTGGACCAGTCCTACAATACCTGCTTAAATTCAGAAACCAAAACCATGCATTCTGGTTCATCTAGTAATCATTTTACTATATTTATTTACTTTAAACAACAGGCCAGTTGTCTTCACAACACCAGAAGATCATTGAAATGAACGAGTGAATTGTTTTGCTGTCCTCCTAGTGACAATTGTGGTGTAACAGTTAAAATGAGATTATGATCCACTTTGTTCCTTTGAAATGCCTAAAACAAAAATGTAACAAGATGAACAAGGAACTACAACGTAACAAGATCAATAAGGAAGACAAAACTGTATGAGATGGTTTTGGGATTCATTAGAGAGAAGCTTTGAGTAGGCGGGAACAGAGTTGACATCGGAGAGAAGGAAAGGGAAGTGCAAACTACTATATTTCTAAATTTATTCACTGCTTAACACGCAGACACAAAACCTGACAGGACAAGACTCAGGTCTTCTCTCTCACGGGATCACAGGTAAGCATTTAAACCAATTTAAATAACTTTTCTGATGTTTTTAAATGGTTATCTATAGCCTGCATGACAGTGGAAGTAAAACGTACCAGGGTTATACTGCAGTCATTTCTTATATATGCTTTTCTAGATGTCATGCCTTACAGAAAATGAATGTGTGAACTAAGGAAAACAGTTGGGAGCATAACTGATCACAAGAAGGAAAATCTTGTCAGGACAGTAGTTGTCTTACTAACTAAAATATTCAGTTTGATAAAGGAGTCTCATACTTCAGGTGTATGAATACATGATCAGGACAGGGACTCAGAGGAGTAGAGTAAGATAGATTTCTATCCTGATGCTCATTTGGTCAGGTTCTCCAAGGAGAGAATGTCACTCTATGGTACAGATTTGGTATAGACTCGATAACGACTGCCTGAAAAACTAAAGTGGTTTGATAGCCAAAAACTTGATGAATATCTGTAGACTTCAGAGACAGACCTGCAATTTCTGCAGTGCCATTCAATAAATATGAATCTTTCTTTACATAATAATAACAACAATAACAACAATATTTTCCAGTCTCTCTATCAGAAAACACCATAAGAAGGTACTACTGAACAGGTAAGTTAAAGTTTGGAATGCTCATAGCTTACACACATAGATATTTGCCATTTTCTGAGGAAAATAAAATTGCCAGAATGTAAAGAAGAGACTGTAGTTAGACTCTGTGAATAAAATGGTAACACTCCAAAAGCAAATAACAACTTTGTCATACATTATATTGTCTGAAATAGGTTGCTAGCCAGAAAAATTCCATAAGCCCAAGAGTTACACCTAAATACATTCTCAGTATTAGCTCCTAATTCTATCTAGATCCAAAATGAGGTAGTAAAAATCTCAGATGTCCCATGTATGAAAATTATCTAAACTTCCCTGGGAACATTACTTTGATAATGAGTTAGGAATGAAAATGAACAAAATATGCAGCTTACAAATCTACACAATTTTGAAAACCAAAGGCAGAAAGAAACATGAATAAAAGGGCAGATCTATAAAAGAGGACACATCTATAATGATCGGAAATTATGAGATGGATAACAAAAACCTAAAAGGAATTGCTGCTCCCAGCAGGTGGCACATGTATGTACATGTAAGTGTATGTGCAGAACATACAGCTAGGCTATTAGTTTCAAAAGGTACCTATGCACTGCATTGCAAATGTAACATCTCTCACTAATATGCACTGCACACATCATTTTAGACACTCAAATACTACAGTTCTGTCTGTTGCCTCTTTCCAGGCTGTAGCAATGGAACAGGTTTCAGCATCAATTGGCAACTTTACAGTTGATCTTTTCAACAAGCTGAATGAGACCAGTAGGGACAAAAACATTTTCTTTTCCCCTTGGAGTATATCATCTGCTCTCGCCCTGACATACCTGGCTGCAAAAGGCAATACAGCAAGAGAGATGGCAAAGGTAAGTAGCTCCCTGAAGCTATGATGCTCAACACTACCCAGTAATTGCTATTGGGATGCCCTGTGCCATTGTCATAGGGAAAAACTACATTTGGGTTTGCACAAATGCATTGCCATTGCTGATTGCAATGGCTGTGGAAGGGAGTTCAGCCTTGTAATGCGCAGACAAAAGTACTGTGATGATGCTTACAGAGGGAAGCAACACTATTCCTTGTTACTGTATGGGATTTACATGTACTACAGCTCCAGTGTCCCCCCAGTTAGATCAGAAGATAGCACAGTGAGTTACCATATGGAGACAAACAAGACAACCATTTTATCTCTATTAGGTTTTAGGTCGTGCAAATTCTTTCATGCCAACTTCTTACCTCTGGAAACTCTATTTGCAGGTTCTTCATTTCGCTAAAGGTGTGGAAGCTGAAAGCTCTTCTGTGGCCAGACCTTCTCGGGGGAGACCAAAAAGAAGAAGAATGGTATCTGTTAGACCTGAAATCACAAGATAAGAATTAAAATGTCTGGAAACAGTTTTAAGAGTCCACTATTTCTTGTTCACAGCTCTCTTTATATTTAAAGTATAAAACCCACTATTACTTTGCAACACATCCAATTTCAGTTCCTTTCACTCATTCAGACTCAAAAGTATAGAAGCACAAGTCACTGAGATAGTCTGGAAGGTCTGCAATATGGTGAATCAGTTAATCAGGTCATAAATGGAGCCCTGCAAACTGCAGCAGTGGCAAATTTGGAAAGATAAAAAGTAAGAGAGAGGAACAGAAATTCCACCCCAACATCTATCCCTTAGCGTGTTTCAAAAACTTCATGCAAAAAAATGCAACTGGTAAATGTACAGTTTCTCTTTCCAAGGACCCTGAGCATGAGCAAGCTGAAAACATCCACTCTGGATTCAAAGAGCTCCTGACAGCCTTCAACAAACCCAGAAACACCTACTCACTGAGAAGTGCCAACCGTATCTATGTGGAAAAAACCTATCCATTGCTGCCTGTAAGTTGAATGGTTTTATTTCAAAGAGGATTAAGAAAAATTGCCAAAAAAAAAAAAAGTTTTGCACTGTATTCATTGTATTCACTTGTTATTAATAGAACAGTTTTGAAGCTGTCCATAAATGCCACAGATGACGAGTCTTGGTTTCCAGATAAACTTCACTAGAAAATACCATTTGGGCTTCTCCCAGTTTATAAGAACGCATTTGGCTGTAATGCAGGACCCCTTTTCATGCAGTACAGCTTTATCACTAGGAATCTCAATACATACAATTGAAAATGAGATATTGAAATAAGCACATCCAGGGGATGTGCACAGTCTTCTTTCCTTCGCCAAATAAAAGTGGGAATGACAGAATAAGAGAAGGGAAATGTTTGTCCTTTGGTTATTTCTTAAACGTTAACTCACTGCTCAGTAGAGAGCAAAAGACTACATTCTGCAGTTGCCTATGTGCAAAAAGTTAACAAGAAGTCCAAGAGCTAACAAATTACTTTCTGGACTACAAAAATATTGTACAGTACAGAATATTTCCTTCTTTCTTTGTTTCTTTCTTTTTATATGCCATTTTCCAGACATATATGCAGCTCAGTAAGAAATACTATAAAGCAGAGCCACACAAGGTTAACTTTAAGACAGCACCAGAACAAACCAGAAAGGAAATCAACACCTGGGTGGAAAAACAAACAGACAGTAAGTTGAGCTCAACCCCAACATCCTTCCTCTTCCTAATGCCCTCTTTGGGACCCTGTTCTCACACTTGTGACTGTAGCATCCAGGTCATGCCTTCTAGTATGGGCAGTAGATGGCTGTCTGCTTCCAGTTGCTTGCCATGAGACTGTGGCATTTTTTGAGGCAGAAGCCAATTGCAGTCAGCTAGCCAGGAGAACAGGGCAGCAAACATCAAACAGACTAACTGGTTTATGTCAGGGAAGTAATTCAGGGAGTAGGGCACTGAGGCTTGCACTTTTTCAGTAAGGAGTTGAACAGAGCGGATAAAGAATCAAAACATTCCCTCACTTTGTTACACTGGAGTACAGCCTGACTTTTCTGATTTTAAAAGGTAAAATCAAGAATTTGCTGAGTTCGGATGATGTGAAAAGCATGACCAGGTTGATTTTGGTCAATGCCATTTACTTCAAGGCAGAATGGGAAGTGAAATTTCAGGCAGGACACACATCTATGCAACCCTTCCGCCTGAGCAAGGTAAGCTCCTCTGGTGTCCTTACAGCAAGCAGACTGGACACTGCACCTACTGTTACCATCTTTTGTTTCATCCATCCTTTAGCCATTCTTTGGTAAACAGACTCTCTGAAAAGTTGTTTACAGCAAAATGTGTCAGTGGTCAGCTCACCAACATTTATGGAAATTAAGATGCTGCTCAGGCAAAGGATAACTAGATCCAGATGGAACACAGTTTCCAAAAATGCTAGAGTCACTTAAAGCCTTTCTGCAAAACTGAGGTATAAGAGTTAGATTGTAAAAATCAGATATTGAGAGTCCGTGCTTCCTGGACAGGAACTGCATGCCATGCTATGGATGAGCACAGTACCCACACCTCTGTGCTGCACAGTCCAACTGTGAATATGGCTGCAGCAGCACAGCTCCACTGGATGGGTGCATGGCTGAGTGAGATTAGAAGTAATGTTGCCATAGAGAGGAGATCACAAAAAGGCTGCATAACATTTATCCTCTTACACCAGAGCTGTTTCACTGCTGTGGTGTTGGGTGGCTGTATGCCATGAATGCTTCCTCCCCCTAATTCTTGCTGATGTTTCTGGCTCCCTTCCTCTCCCCTCTGTGGGCTGATGTGCATGCTCTGGGGAAAAGAGAAAATCAGTTAGCTCAGTCCCCAGCAAAATACTCTGGGACAAGAGACAAGATCAGCAATACTGTCCAGTCAAGAAAAGCCCTGGAAAAAGAATGTCAAATCTCTGTTACAGAAATTGCTTCTGAAAGTTTCCTCTATACAAGGACTTCCTTTTTTCAAGGAATAATTTCTAACTGATAAATAAATACCTTACAGAATAAGTCCAAGCTCGTGAAGATGATGTACATGAAAAATACATTTCCAGTTCTTATCGTGGAAAAAATGAACTTCAAAATGATCGAACTTCCATATGTGAAACGTGAACTCAGTATGTTCATCCTACTTCCTGACGACATCAAAGATGGCACTACTGGTCTTGAGCAGGTAAGTTATGCTACATCCATTCTGTATCACCACTCAGTCATCAGAACAAAAAGGACAGACTGATGACCATATGGCCCTTTCTTTCTTCTGCAATTAATTTGGCAGAAGTAGCACTCAAAAAGTTGCAGCATTATGCATCACATTTGCTTTGCAGCCTGTTCTCTGGTCATCAGTGAAAGCAATTTATATTTTGTGTTTTTCAGCTGAATGTTAAATATGCCATTTAAAAAACTGTTTTAAAAATTGATTTAGAAAAAGACAGTCATCATTAATGATTGGTTTATTAATTATTGGTTTATCCTTGCCACTATCAAATTCCTCTTAAACACTAGCTGGAAAGAGAACTCACCTTTGAGAAGCTGTTGGAATGGGCTGATTCAAAGAAGATGACAGAAACTCTTGTGGATCTGCACCTGCCTAAGTTCTCTCTGGAGGACAGATATGACCTCCGTGATACTCTGAAGAACATGGGCATGACAAGTGCCTTCAGCCTCAACGCTGATTTCAGCGGGATGACTGATAAGAGGGATTTGTCTATTTCCAAAGTCATTCATCAGTCTTTTGTTGCAGTTGATGAGAAAGGCACTGAGGCAGCTGCTGCTACAGCTGTAATTACAACACTCACAAGTACAGCTATCAACTATGCTCTGACATTTAAGGCTGATCACCCTTTCCACTTCTTCATCAGACATAACAAATCCAAAACAATCCTGTTTTTTGGCAGACTCTGCTGCCCAGTAGAATGAATTATTCCTCACTCCCAAAGTTCATTTTTCAAAGGAAAAACATGAACTGTAGTGTTAAAAGCTCAGCCTTCAACCATATAGCCATAAGTACTAGAAGTATATGTCTTTTTTCTTAAGTAAGGCAGCACCCAGACACCACCATGTGCCTCAAAGACTGTCTCTCTATTGCTTCTTTCCATTACGTTAATGAAATTGCCTTTCATGGAAAGCAAATGCTTGATGTATAATTGCTAACCTCTGTTCACCTTGCATTTTGTCCTTATTTCTCTGAATGCTCAAGGCTGAGGTTGATAAGCATCCCAACCAGCAATAAGACCAAGAAAACTACAGCAACATCCCTTATTGCTACCTCTTATTGAAATGCGATCTAAACAATTCAAATCTGCTTTCCATTTTCAATTTAATGTAATTGTATCTGTTTCCTGGCCAACATCTGCACAGTCTCCTTGCTACCTGGATCACTGATAAATGTATGATTTGTAACTTACGAGTGCCTTTCAGCTAAGATAGTCCTGGTATTGACAGAAACACCAATAAGATTTTTATGCATGCTTCACTTCATTATTTTGCCATGATCTACATTTACAATAATAAATGAATTTGGAACTGTGTTTGTGCTATGCAAGATTCTAACTCACCTAGCTCCTTTAGAGCATCCTATACAATGAATGGCTGACACACATTTCTGCTCTTGCTGTTTCAAACCAACCATCACATCACCACTAATGACAAGGTGCTGAAACACTCTAATAATTAACCAGTGTCTTACTCCCACTACATTTCATACAACACTGAAAACACTGTTGTTCAACATGTTATCCTATTCATTTACTAGACACACCAAAATAAATCAAAACCTGTGATGAGATAACAGAGTTAAGGTATTTGCCCGTTCTTGTTGAGCATCTTCACCAATAATCTAGATAAAGGAATAGAGTGCATCCTCAGCAAGTCTGCTGACAGTATGAAGCTGGGAGGAGTGCCTGACAGGCCAGGAGACTGAAATGACATTCAGTGAGACCTGGACAGGCTGGAGAGCTGGGTGGAGAGGAACCTGATGAGCTTCAACAAGAAAAAGCATAGAGTGCTGCACACGGGGAGGAATAACTGCATGCATCAGTACACATCAGGGGCTAGCCTGCTGGAATACACCTCTGAGGAGAAAAAGCTGGGTGTCTTGGTAGACAACAGATTGGCCATGAGCCAACAGTGTGCACTTGTGGCCCAGGTGGCCAACGGTATTCTGGCGTGAACTGAAAAGAGTGAGGCCAGCAAGTCGAGCGAGATGATCCTCCCCATCTACTCCGCCCTGGTAAGGCCACATCTGGAGTACTGTGCCCAGTTCCAGGCTCCTCAGTTCAAGAAAGACAGGGAACTGCTGAAAAGAGTCCAGCGGAGGGCTGCAAAGTTGATTGGGGGCCTGGAGCATCTCCCATAGGAAGAAAGGTTGAGACACCACAGACTGTTCAGCCTGGAGAGGAAAAGACTGAGGGGTGGATCTCATCATTATTTATAAATATCTAAAGTGCAGGAGTCAAGTGAACGGGCCCAGACTCTTTCCAGTGGTGCGCAGCAAAAGGGGCAGCGGCCAAACACTGTGATGCAGAAAATTCTACAAAAACACTAGGAAGTACTTCTTTATTTTTAGGGTGACAGAGCACTGGAACAGGCAGCCCAGAGAGCTTATGGAGTATCCTTCTCTAGAGATATTCAAGACCTGCCTGTGCTTTTCTGTGCAGCCTGCTGCAGGAAACTTTAGCAGGGGGTTGGACTGGATCTCCAAGAGGTTCCTTCCAACTCTTGCGATTCTGTGATTCTGTGATCTGAACTTTCTTTCACTGTAAGCAATCAGTTTTCCACTTTTAACCACTGCTTATTGCACTATCAGCCTCCCTTGGAAGGGGCTGAAATAAAAGTTTGACCAGAGCAAATAGCCCAAAAGAGTGGCTTCCAAACATCCACTGCTGTATTAATAACATCAGTTTCTTCCATTAGCTTAGGAGGGCAGCAGCTGTGCTTTCCTTTGCCTATAGGAATCGCATAAAGTTTCGTAGCCATTATGATATCCAGCTACCACACGTGACAGAACATTATTTCAAGCAACAAGATCTGAATGCTGGAGGGAAGTACTGTACAAACATATACTCTTAGCAAAATTCCACCTGTAATTACAGCTTACCCTACACCTCAACAAAAGGTAGTCTATTTGGAAACACACCTCCACCCAACGAAGTATATCTACACCTTCTCTGTACACCATGCTGCTTCTAAATTCAGTGCCCTCCATCACCTGTAACCCCCAGCTCAGGGTTCAGCTGTCTGTCACTGAGGACCCACTTTGGTTCAGCCCTGCTGCATGCTACTGACTCAGCTTTACAAAGAAATGTACTAAGGTGTGGAAAAGCACACAAGTGAAAACTACACAATAAAAGTAAAAACACAAAGAAGTTATTGTCAGGATGGAATAGTCAGCATAGCAAGGACTCGAGGATAAATGCTTGCATATGGGGTGTAAAAATTTAATTAAAAAAAAAAAGTTAAGAATTGGAATTCTCCAGTTTGTTCAGGTCCTTCTGAATGGCAGCAAAATCCTTCTGGTTGGATGGTGTATCAGCCAAGTTTTGTACTGTCTGCAAACTTGGTGAGGGTGATGCTCTGTGTCAGCATCCTGGTCATTAATGAATGTATAAATAGTACTGGTGTTAACCAGACTTGCCTTCAGCTGGGCTTCGTGCCACTGATCACAACTCTCTGGGCCTGGCTGGGCTCACTTATCCATCCCATCATTTGTCAGCCTGGCAGGCTTTCAGGCAGCCTCACAGGAAAGAGTATTAAACGTAGTTTCTAAAGTCAAGGTAAACAACATTGAGTATTCTCCCCTCATCAAAGAGGCTAGCTGGCTAGCTGCCTCATCCTAGAAGGCAATCAGGATGGCTAAGCATGACTTCCCCTTCATATATAAATCCTGACTACTCTTAACCTCCTTGTTCTTCATGAGTTTCACAGTAGTGTCCACCTCTGTGGTAGACTGACCTCACGACAAGCAGAAATGGCAGAGAGTGTGCAATAATAAAGATAAGGAATGTTACAGTGCTGGTGTATTTTTAGCACTCGAGGCTTGGATGCAGAAAAAATCCAGCAACAATACAACCTATTTTAGAACTAAATGCAAATGTATCAATACTTTGTAAGGTTTTTATTTTACCATCAGTAACTGGAACAAGAAAAACCCTTTTTAAATATTATTTATACTCCAGTCACTCACAGGTCTATTGAAATCACTTGATACTTATTCTCCTTTCCTCTCTTGTAGGACAAGGCTGAATGGAACTTCCCACAGAGTAAATAACTGGACTTAGTCGAGCACTGATTTTAAACTGTACTGTTTTTTTAACCAGCATAAGTGTGAATGCCTAGATGTACCAAACTACAGAGTAAACTGATCACAGGTATACAACAGAATAGACAGAAAGACACAACCTCACATCCACACTGAGAAAGCTGGGGATGAAAGGTGACTTCATTAGAATGCCCAAGAAAAGCGACTTGTTTTATCAGAAAACTTTTAATGACCATTTGTCAGAGACCAACCTATTTGTAGCCAGCAAGTCAGGCAGGGGTTTTGATGCTGCAACACATTGTTTCTACCATTCTGTTTACAGTAAGCCATTATTTCCTCTCCTCCACGTGGCACAGCAAAACCAAGAGCACTTTTTTCTTTCCCATATTTTCTCCCCTTTGAAACTCTACTCCCTCTTACTAAACAGGATCTTGCAGCAGATACCACAGAGTGTCCACACAGTTTGGGCACCCTTTTGTAATTTTCCTGTATTTTTGGCCAATCTTTGTAGTTTGTAGCACAGTAATTATCACTATTAACTGCTTTCTTATTTCTCCTAAATACTCAGCCAAACAGGTAACAACAGTTTCAGATATGTGGCAAGAACATTTCTTAACCATACAACAAAACATAATAGTGTTCAATAGATTTCTGAAGAAAGAAAATGAGATGGATATTCCAGGTATGAAAAACGTGCACACTTAGAGAACATGTAAAAGAAGATAGGCATATGTCACTCCTGAAACCTTGCACTGCGTATGTATCAGTCAGATTCAAAGTGAATAGCAACATAAACATTTAGTTCTAGTTCTAAATATGGTTTTGTACTCTTTATCCTAACTTTCTTCTACACAGGATGACTGCATGCTGGCAACTGGTTTACTCTGCATGTGTCATAGTTGTGGGCATTCCTAAAGCACTCCTAAGTAACCATACCTGCAGTCGAAAATATAGATAAGGATTGCAAAGGGAATGGATCGATGCATTTAATCCAAGTCATGTAGATAAAAACTGGAATTGCTAATGACAGTTTTAGTAACCAATTACATTGGTTAAAATAAAATGCATATATACAGATAACTGTCTTGCATTATGTCTTTACTGATCTCTGATCTCACACAATCTGCTACTTCTACTCTTTACTACAAAACAACAGTTTCAGTAAATAAAATAATTACAAGCAGAGCTTCCAAGCAGCTTTGCAGTGGCCCAAACTTCCTCCGTTCCTAGAACATAATAAGCTTGGTACAGCGCAGGGCCTGCAGGTTATTAGGCTGAATGACAGGATGGCTGACACCAACAGCCTACCTCAGTTCTCCTTTTCAGCCAAATCTTTGAGATTAGCTTCTCTTAATTCCCTAGTTCATAGAGTAAAAAGATGAGGAAACTGTAAAATTATTTCAATGTGGCCCTCGTCAATGCACTGTGACTCTATTCTTTCCTACAATTCCTACATACTTGCAGAAATGTTGTGAAGGGGACCACTGGAAAAAAGCACACTGGGCTTCATGTTTTAGGACATGCACCAACTAACCGTGGTTTTGAATTGGCCTCTCTCCCTTCATCTCTCTCTATAATTCTGAAAGGCAGCGATGGAGAAAAGAAATGGGAATAAATGAGGGAACAGGCACATTAATACAAGAAGAGGATGTTGGGAAGAGAAGGGAGGTGCAACCATTTCTACACTTCCAAAAGTATTCATTGCCTCACAGACCGCCACAGATCCTGACTGAAGCAACATCTTAACTCTTCCCTCTCTCGCAGGATTTCAGGTAGAGTAAATATTTATATCTAAATAGCCAGCTTTATTTTGGCAGTCTTAAAAATTCTTATAAATTCTCCAGAATGGAGTGGCTAAATGGTAACTAAAATGTCATGCAGGGAAATGGAGCATTCAACTCTTCATGCAAACTGCAGCCTTTAGGAAAATACTGCACAAAGGGCACAGTGTTCAGGATGCACATCCAGATTGGGCAAAACCTACACAGCTTGAGTGCAAAAAAGTGTCCTCACTTGCAGGCAGGGTGCCCTGATCACCAGGCTACCAGTTGATTTAGGATCAGAGGACTGAACACAGAATGCAGATGATAATGCACTCCTACTGATCCCAGAGTTGAACACACGTGACTGCGTGACTCCACACTGCAGTGTTTTAGACAATCAGC